CAGTGAATGCCAATTTCGAGCAAGTCAAGTGAATGCACTTGACAACACTTGCCGCACACGACTGTAGTGTTGGTAAGCGAAAACTTTCGCATGACTCTTTTGGTGTAACAAGTTGAACTCAGTCAGTTGGCACTTGCAACCTGTTTGCCCGACTTGCAGCGACACGCCCAGCACTTCCGCAGTGCCGCAGCACTTGCATCAATGCGTTGCCATTGTCAAAAAGGAGGTCCAGAGAGTGTGTCTAGTCGATGTACGTACGTACGTATATAGGCAAACAGGGAGCCCTAAGCATTCATCTTTAAAAACCATTTTAGTCAACACAAAGCGAATGCGTTCTTTCACTGAAAGAAGCCCAGACAAAGGAAGATGCCAAACAACAACAAAAAAGCGAGTAAAAATGAAAAAGAAAACAACAAGAATAGAATAACAACACACGACTTTGGAGACATGAGAAAAAACGCGTAAAACTTTAGCCAGGACACGGAAGGATGAGCTGGAAGCTGCGGAAGCTGTCGCCTTGTTGTGCTGTTAACAAGGCAAAAACAGAGACAGAGAAGGAGACAGGGACAGAGCCAGAGAGGCTGAGGTAAATGCTGAGGCAGAGGCTGGGCATGAGACTGGGACCGAGAGGCACAGGATGGCAGCCACACAAGGAAATTGTAACCCGACAGATAGTGAGACGCGTTTAATGGAAGCCCAGCCATATTTTTCAGATTTTAACGAGGACTAGTTGAAGAAGAAGAGAAAGCAGAAGAAGATGAGGAAGAAGGACTACCATCAATGGCAAAGCATTTGTCTCAGACCAAAAGTGCTGTAGCTTGCTGGCCATTGTAGTTGGCTTCATAGTCTCCAGCGGGTCAAATTGAGGGCGTGTCAGTAGCCAAGTGATACATATAGAGAAAGGGAGAAGGGAGACTGAGTGGACGCAACATTGTGTTGAGCATGGTGTGGCATGAACTGGACTAGGAATGGGACCTATGATATTCTACCATTTGTCATAAAAGTGGCAACAATGTGTGGCAGGTAGAGCGAATAACAGCTCGGAACAGATACGTGTGGGCATGGCCAGCATGGTCTTATTCACTCACTTAAAGAGGTTCAGAGTTGAGCTTTGAGGTTGCAATAAAAACGCACAAAGTGTGAAGAAAATCAACATATTTGGGTGAGTGAGATTTTAACAGGCATCGGATGTAGCAAAACTGTTTAGCTAAGCAAAAAATATAGACAGAGAAAAAGTGAGCTAAGTTATGAGTATAAAAATAATATGGTATAAGCAATATATTCAGATAAACCCAAATGAGCATGAAAATAAACAAAAAAATTATACTTATTATAAGTCTATGAAAATTTATATAAAATATATACAAATGTATTTAAAGTATATTTAAATTTTTAAATTAAATTTAAAAAAATTTAAATTTAACATTTTAATTAAATTTAATCAATAAAAGAAAAACTAAAATATATTCAAAGGCTATTTTCATATTTTAAATAGGTAGTTAACAATGTTTACTTTAAATTCATATTCAATTTATAATGCTTTACACCAATTATTAAAGTTTATTTACCATCAGAAAACAAAGGTTTTTTACAGAACTTTCTGCCTAGCTGCTTCTACTTCCAGAAGCCAAACTCTTTTGTAAGCTGTTTGTAAATTTCCTTTCTGCATTCTACTTATTTTCTTTGCAGCGATTAAAACTTATAAATTGTTTAAACACGGATCGAACAAATGCCAATTCTACTGCTGCTGCTGCTGCTGCTGCTGCTGTTAGTGCTTCTTGCTAAAGTTGCGCGCTTTGCCAGCCGCTTCCCTTGGGCTTAGTTATTTTTTCCGTGTGTCTGGCCTATCGCTAAAAATGTGTATAAAATTATGTTGCTTATACTTAGACAAGGGGCAAAAACAAAGAGAGAAATGGAGAGAGAAGATAAACTTGAATGAACGAATATTAAACACACTAGACGAAAGAGTTGTATATTTTATTTTATATTTATAGTATATATCATTTTATTATATCTATTATATAGAATATATAGTAAAGTTATACAGGAGAATTTCGAATAGGCTCGGTGATACTGTCAACTCAACGTCCTTAGTTAAGAGAGTCCTGTCGATAGATGAATAGGTAACATATGCTTACATTTAAACAAATCACATATATATTATATTATTCTTGAACTTCCACTTCAACTCTTTACATTCATCTTAAGCATATTCGCATACCCTGCTCACAGTGTATTTTGGAAGCGAAAGGAAAACATGATTTCCATCATCATCGCTTGAACTTGTTTACCAAGTCTTGACTTTGGTGTTGCCATTTGGCAATTTGGCAAACGTTTTGTTATTGTTTCTATAGAAAGAGTTCGAGTGGTTATTGTCGCTGTTGCTGCTGTTGTTGTGGTTGATTTTTTCCTGCAGATGTGGGTGTGTTGCCCCTTGGGTTCTGTTGATTGATTCGCATCTATCAGCAAAGTTGCTAGACTCAATTAAAAATGCTAATTGATGTCTGTTCGGGGCGTGTTTGTCAAAGCAATAGAATGATAGAGATAGAGAGAGTAAGAGAGAGAGAGAAAGAGAGAGAGAGAGACGCAAAGAGAGAAACGAGAACGTGTCTCTAATTATCCACGAAAGTCACAGGCAGCAATTAATATTTCATTTCGATGAGCGATTAGCTAAATTCCGACTCCAAATGTCTGTACTCATTTAAATTAAACTTAATTGCAATCAAATACCCTGTATAAGTAAAGAGAGTGGGCATTGATGCTAAAAATAGAAATTATATATATTTATACTTGATTTATTATGTATAACTTAATGAAACTTTGTTAATTGCTCTGTAGTTAAAGTTCGATGTAAAGACTATGATATACCCTATGATGGGCAGCTTTAATTTTAAAATAGAAAAAAACGGAAAAGAAAAAGAAAAATGTAGATAGAGATAAATAGATCCAAATATATAAATATAATAATAATATAATATTTTATTTTAATTTTAAACGAAATAAAATGCAAATGCAAAATGGAAATAAAAATTTTATTAATAATAATTATATACACATATATTTTTATTTTAATATATTTATTTTATAATATATTTATTTAATATTCCGATTGATATTAAAACGTTTCAGTTAAACGTATTTATTGTACTAACAAATTTTAAAATCTGTTTTAAAATACAGGGTATTTTGTTCATTCTAGCCTTATACATATATACGACAAAAATGATTTTGCTGCTTTAAATACTCTGGGTTTCTATTTTATTTTATATTTTACTTTACTCACGTCCAATCTCAGAATCAGATTAACAAATTGATCTGTAAAATATGATTATTTATTATTTCCCTAGAAAGTTGACTTTTGGTTTCATATTTCTCGTAATGCATCATAACTAATTGTCTCTAATTTACTGCTCTCTTCTCACAGTGTTTTTTCTATTCTTTTCTCTCCATTAGATTTCTCCCTTCTCTTTAATTCTCGTTCCTCTTTTATATTAAAGGAAAGTAGAGCTATGTGATACGACTTCTGTATAGACATAGGAACAATATAATGTCGTTTAATATAAATATATGCCAGTAATACAGAACCCAAAAGTTGAAAAAGAGTATTTAATTGTGTTCATCAACAAAAAGTGAAACGTTTTCTGTTTGAGTTTGTTTTACTTGCGAATCGTTGTGTGTTAAATGTCAGCTCAAATATTTATTTACCTAGCTACTGATATTTCAGGCGACTCATTAAAGCAATTAAAATTTTGTTGTTGTTTGATCAACTTTGTTGTGCTTGTGCTTGTGTCTGTGCCTGTGTGTGTGTGTGTGTGCGTGTGAATATTTATTTATTTTGCTATTTTGGGGGCTCGTCGTCTGTGGGGCGTGGCACTTTTTAAATAGTTTAAACACATAAAAAAGTTACAGAAAAGTTTACGTTTCGCTTTTATTACAGAGTTCCCAGCACCGCACAGCATACTCAGCCCAACCGAGCTCTCGCCTCTCCGGCAATTCAGTATGTCTGGCAGCGTTGCCACCCGGCCGCAGAAGTTAGCTGTGTACACTGTTTGGCAAAGTTTTAGTCAACTTAATTAGCACGTTGATTATTTTTAGCGCCCAATCGAGCAGAGGCAATGATTTCATTAGGTGCCTAGCGCTAGCCCCTTACCACCACCCCTCACTCCGCTCTGGCGTTGCCACATGGTTGATGTGGGTTTCTGGCTTACGAGTCGCTTGGTTTTGCCCGAGTGCAGCGTAAAGTGCGCTATGATTATTTAATTGCCGCAAAGTCTCGAAAAGTGGAATAGCGGAAGAAGAAGACGGTAATAGAGTGCGCTATTTGCGCTGAGAGTCGAAGTTGAAGAGCTGTAAACGTTGCCAATTAGTTGGCATATGGCAATGCGGGCTGCCATTTGGCCAATTTGAATACTTGATGACACAGCCAACTGTTGGTTTTACATTTGAAACTTTAAGTTCTTCTTCACCAGAATCGTAATGGTGTAGAAATTTTATAAAGTTTTCAACTAAAATTAGTTTAATATACTTTTTAGTGAGCTAGATTAGAGAGTAGTTTAATTTAGGATATCGTGGTAGTACTAAGCTACTTTTTGATAAGTAAATAATAATTAATGGATATTAATAAGATTATAGAGAAATAAACAATTAAATAAAAATAAAATTAAGTCAATTGTAACCATTAGAAAATGTTGCAATGTCATTAATAATAATATAAAAATTATATTAATAATCATATACAATTTTTATAATAAAAATAATGTTTTGAAAATATTTTAACTAGAACCATAATTTTCCCTGCAGTTGCAAATACAACTAAATACAACTAAAATTTCAATTTCTCTGTTGATTTGCTCTTAATTTCATTAAACCAAAAATAAATATTGATATTTAAATCTACCTGAAAGCAAACAAGCAAAGATATCAATAATAATTTCTTTTGACATAATTGCCTCGTCACAGTTGCAAGGAGAGTTTTTTATTTTCATTTTTATTTTTTGCAGTGTCTGTGTAATAATTCTCAACCGGTTCTAGGGCCGGTTTTAGTGAATCGCTTAACTCAAGCAGCAACTGAACCTTTGTGCATCAGCACAGTTGGTCTTGGTCTTTAACGAAGATTTTATTTCTCAGGAATACATATATCAAGAAGTAAGTAGTAGAAGTAAAGAAAACTTAAACAACATGTGAATATGTCCATTGAAAATCAGAGCTTAGCTTCTCGCACTTGGCTTCCACATTAAATTACAATTGTGCAACCGCACAATGCCTAATATCTCTATTATTTACATTCATCATTCCAATTGTCGAATTTTGTTTTGTTGTGTGCCATTTGGACCATTTGTTTGTCTCATTTAAGCCAAGCGACAGACGTCTCAAATTAGGCGTTAAATTCAACACATAATACACGTTTTATGGCTTGCATGACTTTATAGCCCAGTTACACGTACACACACACACACATACATGCACATGCATACAGTCCGTTACACTATTTCGAGCTCTCTTGCCCCTGTTCTTCCCTTGTTTTATAACTAGCGCAGCTGCCTTTATCTGTGAGCCAAGTTGTTTGCCTTTGAGCTTACAAGAGACCAACAGAGTTGAACACATGAAAGAGCCAAGAACAAAAGGGAACAATGTTTAACTAGGGAAAATACCTTGAATGTAGATCTTTATATAAATACCTATACCAATGCCTATATCTATACATATGTATTGTATATATATATCTATATTATATATATTTTGAGCAAGCTATTGACTGATTATATTGCCCACCTCTGGAATTTAGTTGGAATTATGCATTCGATTTGATCACTTGACAAATCCTATTTGCACGCTTCGCAGGAAAATCAATTTATGCTCGTGTCTCGGCAGGGTATGCTGCCCCTCGTCTGCTTACCCTTTTGGTTGCGTCATAAAATTCTGTTTCTCGTTTTTATTGTGGGCAACCCTTTTATCATTGATCATACTTACGAAAACGAGACTTGGAATGGGACTGTGACTTGGATTTGATTTTTTATGGACTTGCTAAGATGCATTCACGCTTCCTGTTGGTGCCACAGAGAAACAAAAAGGTACAGAGCATGCGGTTCTGACTGGGCTCAACTCACTAGAATATACCCTAGCTAAAAACTATAAATGAAAGCATGTACGGTATAGAGCTTGTCGTTTGGGTGTAGCCAACTAGCAGATACCCTAGAAAGGCAACCATTTTCTGACGGACTTCATTTAATGATATCATTTAAAATATGATTTTCTGTCCTGTCACAAGTTTGATCGAATAAACAGCATACCCTCTACGCAAAATCTAGCTATGAAATTCTCTAAAGGGAGAGAGAAGGAACAGAAAATCTCGTGACTCATTGCCCGCAGCTTAATGGCAATTAGTTGGAAAATTTGTGCCCAGCTACCGTTGGCGGTGGTCGTAGCACTAAATACTATATAGATGATGCTCAATTTCCTTTGAAATCACACAATATAAAACTCACAGATAAAAAGTGGAAGACAGAGAGAGAGAGAGAGAGAGAGAGAGAGAGGGGCTGAGGCAGATAGAACTACGCATATTGTCTGTGGTTAAGAAGTTCTTGAGCAACATTTCAAAAAAGAAAATATTGCAGTCGCGCACATTGCCACGAAATTTGATTATGTAATTTGTTCTTAGCTTCTTCTTGCTATTCTTTATTTCTGTGCTGTGCAGTGTACACTGCCCACATTTGAGATCAAGTGCTCGCAGCTATTGACAGACGTGTGTGCGTCTCGCGCGCGGGGGGGCAAGGAAGTGTTGATGATTGTCGTTGGCGTCTGTTGAAGATGTTGTTGTCGGCTCTTCCATGCAACATGTGGGCGTTGTTGCCACTTCTAGTACCCTAGTTGCAGTAGTTGCCGTGCCTTAATATACATCATATGCAGACATACATACATACATATAGGCATCTCTTCGTCTGTGTTGCCAATGCCAATTGCTAACAGCAACAACAACAACAACAACAAAATGTTGATCAAAAACAATCAAAAGCCGGTCAATGTCTGCGCCAACATGTTTGAGAGCTGCGCTTCCAACATGTTCGATCTTTACAACGTGCCTGGCCTGACATGCTGCAATCCAGCGCAGAAATGCTGCGCGCGCTCTCTTCGGCCCGAGCAACATGTTGCTAGTGTAAGTGTCTAGACATGTTGCGCGCTCCGTTACATGGCAACAAAAACAATTGCTCTAGCCAAACGTATTGAAAATATAGTAAATAAATATATTACGCATAAGATTTATTGAATATTTATTAATTCATTTTTGATATTTATAATTCCGTCTTGTTGCCCATTGCTGCACCGTGCAAGCCGTTCTCATGCACCTACGCTCTCTCTATTTCTTTCAGTGCAGACATGTGCTCTCAACATTGCGGCGCATCAGTTCAGATTTTGTTGCTGCCATTCAGATTCAGATTCAGTTGTTATCTGTAAGTCGCCCCGTGTCGTCGAATGTGCGGATTGAACGCATTCACCATACGCATCGCTCCCTATACTAAACCAAGGGTGTTCGGTATTCTATTTGATTGAGGTAAACAAAACAAAGGCGTGCATTATAAGAATAATAAAAGCCTCTGGGCATTGCCTGAACATATATGAGTCTCTCGTGTGGCATATGCCTAAGATAATGTGCGTGCAATAAAAAACGGTAAATCGCGTGTAATTTCAAATCATAAATAAATCATATATGGAAACTTGAATATTAAAAAAAAAAAAAAAAAAAAATAGTTCGTCAAAAAACAAACAATTTTTCTCAATTTGATAATAATCAAAAATTAAAATGTTTCATTGAAAATGTTTCTTGGTGCTTTGATGTAATAACAAAAATTTGTTTAATCGAAAAACAAGTTGATTAAAACTAATTACAATAATTGTGAATTAATTTAAATAAATAAAAAAGTTGCTTTAAAATTAAAAACAAATAAAATTGTATCAAAATACTTAAGATTTATAAGAAGTTAATTAATTAAGTGAAAATTAAAATCAAAGAATAAATTTTACAATCTAACCAAATTTGCAATATTAAACTCAGAAATATTTGAAAAAAAAAAAGAATATTCAACTAAATTTAATAAATAAATCATACAAAAATAAAAGTAAAAGTGAAATTTATACAAGAAATATACATATTAAAAATATTTGCATTTATACAAAAATAAAATAAGAAATAAATAAAATTAAAAATTAAAAGTTATACGCATTCAAGATTTTATAATTGCTTAAATCTTGTGTAAAATAATATGACAAAAAATAATTATTACATGTGAATTTCTGATTGTGAATTGCAGTGTAAAACGCAATAATAATTGATATTATTGCAAAATATTTCAGTATAACTATAAGCGTTTCAAAAAGTGCATAAACAAAAGAAAATAAAGAAAATGTTTTAAGTAGAGAGGAACAACAAAGCGAGAAAAACAAGAGACAACAATAAGAGATTAATAAAGGAAAACAAGTAGCAGATCAGTTGCAAATCATTTGTACAGCTAAAGATACTTTTGACAGATACAGATACTTTGCAAGCTATAGATACTTCTAGAGCGCTAGCTGCAAATATATTTGCCATGAGCATGCCTCAAGTGCGAGGCAGCAGCAAGGGTTGCTACCCGCTAATGCTGCTGCTGCTGCTCCTGCTGGCCGATCTGGGCTACGCCGAGGAGCATCCGCATCGCCACGCCCACAATGGCACAACCAGTGCACCGAACGGAGCTCGCGCCCGCCGCAATCATCTGCAGTCGCAGCGCTTGCAGCAGCTGCAATGGGCACAAGCTGGCAACGGATTGGACGGACTGCAGCTGGGCAACGGCTACCATCACTTGAGGCACGAGCAGCACTTGCGGGCAGAGCTGGCGGGCAACGAGCAGAACCGGCAGCCGCCGCTGCCAGACCAGCTGCTGCTCGGCGGGCCAGGTGAACAGCATCACTTGCGTCATCACAATCGGCATCATGCTGCCTGGCAACAGCGCGTTTTTCCCGAGCTGCGGCGACAGTCGCTGATGACGACCCCGGCAACGGCAACGGCAGCGGCTCCATCGACCAGAGTCGCTCCCGCCACTCAGGTGGTGACCGATGCACCAGTGCAGCATGCTGCCGCCAATGATAGCAACATGTATTCCTCGAGGCGCTATTTCGATCGCGATTCCATTTCAACCGCCTGGATGCAGGCGCGTTCGACGCGTGCGCCCAACTGGCAGCAGCAGCTCGTGGAGAGCGATGAGGATGACAGCGCAGATGATGACGATGACGACGATGAGGACGATGATGATGACGAGGATTACGATGACGATGAGATGGATGATCAAGCCGATCAGGCAGTGAACGTTGCTGCCGAGCTGGCCAAGCAAATGCCGCGCTACTCCTTCTTCAGCCAGAAGCTGCCGGACTTGAGTGCCAGCGAACAGGATTACGACTACGATCAATCCGTGTCGAATGCACCCAACAGCAACAGCAACAGCAACAACAACAAGCATCCAAATGTGGCAGCTAATCACCCCAAGGCAGCAGCCAAGCGCAACATCTTCAATTGGCTCTTCAAGCCCAGCAAGGAGAAGGTGCAGCTGCAGCTGAAGACAACAACGGCAAAGCCCAGCGCAGATAGCTCAAGTCAGGAGCAGCTCTTCTCGAACGAGCAGTGGAACAAGATCGAGCATGAGCATCATCTGAAGCAGCAGCAGCATCAGAAGGAACTTCAGGCATTGCGCGACAGCATCAGAAACAGAAATGCGCCGCTGATAAGAAGCCGAGCCGTCGTTGGCATTGATAATGAGGTAAGTTTTGGCATTGCGCCCATTCCATTATAATATACACATAGCTATATAGCATATACATTTTTATTGTCATGATGTCATTAGACATTGTTGTAAATACGCAGCGTAGCGAGATAAGTCAGCGACAGCAGCAGAATGGACCGCAAATTGGGTTGGTTGGTAGCCAGACACTGGTCAACCAGCTAGACAAACACAAACAAGCCGAGAGACAAACAGAAATCAAATCAGACACGCATACAAACACACACACTCACATACGTACAATAATTACACTGTAGAAAAAGCAATGAAACACGCTGAGTCATTCGAAAATTTTAAAGCTATATGCGAGGGTTGTTTGAGTGAAGTAAAGGGAAGTTACAGAAATACGGAAAATAGAAGTATATCAAATATAAATATATTTATATAGATAAATATATCGAAGTCTATAAAAAAAAGGAATTTATAGTAATATAATATATACATATATTAAAAAATTAATTAATAATAATAAAAATTTCGTATCAAAATATTTAAAAAAAAATATATTTAAAGACAATAAATAGTTTAATAAAATAATAATAATATTTTCATATAAAAATATTTAAAATAATATTGATAAAATAGATAAAATAAAATATATAAATAAAATAACCTTAGATACGGCTTAAGTGATTTCTAATTTCGGTTTACGCTGATCTTATAAATCAATAAATTGCTTAATAAAATAATATTAACAATACTATCATATAAAAATATTGAAATATAATAAAATAAATATATTAAAAATAAAAATAAAATAACATTAATCAATCAAGTTCTAAGCGTTTTCTAATTACGTTGATCTTCAATCAGTTAGTCGATTAATTTTTACAGTGTGCTTCAAATATTGTGTTGTTCAACTTAATCTTGATCCTCAATTCCGCATTCACTCGCATCAGCTAGAAATTATTATAAATAATTTAAAATTTATCTCAGTGTACGCTACTACTAATAAATCATCAATAATTTTACGACACTTTAATCACTAAAACTATAAATTTTCGTAAAGTCCAAATGATCGTTACTGAAAAAATACAATACTCTAAAATTTCTCTCAGTGTACTCGACGTGTGTGCTACACTTGCAAGTGTTGGTAAATACAGACTTCACTCGACTCGTGCACTGACCATGGCTAATATCGTTTGTGTTTTGGCTTTACCAGCTGCAGCGCTGACAACACAGTGACAACAACAAAAACAACAACAACATCAGCAACACGAATTGGCTTTGTGCAGTTTGTTAAATATTTACAGAATTTTTGTTAAAGGGCCAATGCCGCTTTTCAGATTTCTGAACCAGTTTGTCCCATTGTTTATCCAATCGTCTGTCCAAATGGGCGCTGGCCATTGCGGCTGGCTAATTGAAACCAGCAACAGCAACAGCAACAGCAATAGCAACAATTGCAACAACAACAACAGCAACAAGCCGCAGCAATGGCAACAATTTGTTGCATTTAATTTGCACTTTTTGCATAGCTATTGTTTTGTCAGCTCTTAATTGCATTTCGTGGCGCATTTCGTTCAAATTTTTCATTTTCATTTTTCATTCCATTTCCATTTCCATTGCCATTGCCATTGCCATTTCCACTTTGCATTTGCTTTATCGCTTTGCTGCATTTGCCGCTTCGCTTTCTGGGGCGCACACCTTTTCCTAATTGCGCAGGACACATTTAATTAACGCTCAACAAATAATTGCTCCACCAAGAAGGCGTAACAGCGAGGGGGCGTGGTCTAAATAGCTAAATAAAATAAAAAGAAAAGGCAATTCGAGATGAGATGAAAGAGATGGAAAAACTAATTTTAAAAAATAAAATAAAAATATATATTTTTTATATATACATTCAAATAAATATTAAGCTCAAGCAAATTCTTTGAAGCAAGTGCCAAAGATTTGTCTACTTAAATATTAATTAATTTTCATTATGTTCGCATAATTTGTCATAAAAATATTGCCTCAATTGTCACTGACAAATTGCTTTAGCCAGATCGCTGCCAATTGCCATTTTACCACTTGCCACTTGCTACTTGCCACATGCCACTTGCCACATTTAAATGCCTTGTGTAAATATGTGCGAAAATACATTCATAATTATCATATAATTACTGTTGAAAACAACAACCAACAGCAGGGGGAAAAAAAAATTAAAAATCAACTTGAAGAGGAAAAGAGAAAAAAAATTGTAAATAGCAGAATAAACAGACAGCAACAGCAACAATAACAACAAGAACAGCAACAGCTGTCGGGATGTAAAAACAGCTGCAACAATAACAAATGTAGCAAAATGTGCGTGTCTGTGTGTGGGTGTTGCTCTTTGAGCAGCAGCAACAGCAGCAGCAGCAGGGGAAGCAGAAGAGCTACAAAAAGCGTGCCGCCTTTTGCCGACAGGTGAAAATTGGCGCTGAGCCATTCGAGCTGACAAGTTACCCGCTGTCCGTCTCCGCTGTCTGGCTGGCTTAGCTTTCGTGCTCTGTGACACAGTTATTTACATATGTCTGCGGATGACGCCGTGGCGCTATTGTTTCCTGCCCAGCCACGCCCCGCAGCAACAGCAGCCGCTCGTAAAATGTTGCTCGATGTTTACATAATGCATTATTTGCATGTTGCTCTCATTGCGGTCCTTGTTGCTGTTGCACTTAATTGCAAAGTTGGTAAAGCATTTTTTAGCATTCAGCATGCTCTAGAACTGAAATGAATGTGGGATAGTTAGAGTTGACAGGAATTGCAGCCAGTTGGAGTAGAGCAAAATGTAGATAGCGTTAAGGAGAAGATCAATATATTAGCTACAGGATATGCTTTGGTCTGTATACTTAAAAATCATATATACTTTATAAAAAAAAATAAAATAAAATAAAATAAAAATAGATATATAATATAATGTATGTATATATATAATATAATGTGCAATTCGCAAAAAAAAAAAAATATATATATATATAT